TAGGAGATATGGCTCCATTGAGAGATCTGAAATGTACCGTGCCCAACTCAAGACCAAAACTAGGGGTACAAATGAATCATTACCCGAATTGGCCCAATCTATTAAAAAATTGACCCGTCAAGCATACCCAACAGCTGACCCAACCATTATAAGCATTCTGGCACTCGATCAATTTATTGATGCCCTACCAGACCCAGATATGCGATTAAGGTTGAGGGAAGCTAAACCAAAAGACATAAACGAAGCAGAAATTTTGGCCATTCGATTAGAAACTTATAGATTGGCAGATGCCCAGAGAAATAAAACTGTCAATGTCATTCGTGACACTGACCCTATCTCATCATTAAAGCAAGATAATCAAAACTTGCGGGATGACATACAATCCCTTACCCAAGAAATCAGAGCCCTTATAAGAAATGGTCCAAGGCCGACCCATAATTTTGGGCAAACCCCCTATGAAAATTATTACAATATGGGCTCTTATGAAAACCCAGTCAGACCTGAATACGAAGGGCATGAACCCACAAATTATGAACCAAGACCCCAGGGTCCATCCTACCAAGGAAATTCAAACAAAGGGAGCAAATACCCCAAAAACCCAAAACAAAATCCTTTCCGACCTCAAGGACAGGGAAACTACCCAGAGTCGAATTCGGGGGTCGGAAGTCGACAGGTTCAAGGGGTAGGCCCCAACACTTGCCATTAAATATGGCTCAACCACTCTCACTAAAGCCCAAACCCAATATTGAAAATAAAACAGAATTTGAATGTGAGAAAGAAATCTCTTGTACTGCCCCCAAAGAAATTTTAGTGAGAGATATAAAAGGGGGAAATGATGGAATTTATGTATTTGGGAAAATTGGAAATAAAGAGACAAATATACTAGTAGATACAGGTGCTAGTATGACTATTGTCAGTACCCAGTTCTTTGAAAATTTACATACTGAGGAAAAGCCCCAAATTACTCCCGTATCTATCAAACTTACATCTGCAAGTGGTGATGCAATCCCAGTTAAGGGAGAATGCCCAATCAAAATATCCCTTGAAAATTTTCAAGTTACCCATAAAGTACTTGTGGCTGATATACAAAATCCATGCATATTGGGATTTGATTTTATGAGCAAGAATTCATGTGAACTTTTTGTAAAACAGATGAAACTAAAGGTACAGGGTCTAGACATTCCCTGCTTTAGTACATCTTGTGTAAAAGTTGTGTCTTGTGGCAAGATAAGTCTTGCTGAGGATATTGAAAATCCTCCCCATTGTGATAATGTTGCTCCTACAAAGGTAGATAACCCTTTATATAAGGATGAGGTTGAAATAATAGAACCTATCCCAAGTTTTGTTGAGAAAAATGAATTGATGATTCCCCAAACCCCTGAAACTGTAGACAGAGAAGTCACAGTTTGTCACATGAATTTGAAAGATGAAAGAAGCAATTTTTATGAAAATACTCAAAATGCCACAGTCAAGTATGTTGACAAAGTACTAGGTAAATGGGAAGACCTAAACAATACCCAAACTCTTGATGCTCCTAGCCCAGAGCTCAAACCCCAATTTCTAGACCACTTGCTATGTTCTAATATTGAGACTCTACCCAAAGAAATTGCAAATGAACCAAAACAAGAGTTTCATTTGAATGAAAATTGTCATGTAGCTTATGACAAACTCAAAAGAGCCCTCACAAGTTCCCCGGCCATGTCCTACCCTGACCATGAAGGATTATCTATCCCTGATACTGATAACTCTAATAGTGTGTTAGACACTATACCCTCTCCAGGACAAAGTGATGTAGAAAAATCATTTGTACCATACCAATCACCTAAGCAAGCCATCTCTAGTTCATACTTTGACTTGAAGAAGCCTTCCAGGCCTAGTGATGTAATTCCGGACATGGATCCTGAACATTTCTCGGTGATGTAGAATTCATGGACATATGCTGGACCATTTGGATGTTTTGAAGGAATATATTATGTAACTGTGTTAACTGTATAAAAAATGTGGATATTTGTGAAATCAGGACACTGGTGGTATGCAGATTTGTGATTCGTCCCTGTCGTGACTTTTCCATTTCAGTGGATCCAGGAAGTGATGACAGATGAACTGTGATAAATAAAAACATTGTTTTATATAATATTTTGGTAAAAGTTAAGTATTGATATTTGACTAACTGTTATTCATATTATTGTTATTCATGTCTATGATTATAACTTGTTGACCACATTGTGTTTATTGATAATGATATTTGTGGCCCATGATTATGTGTATTGCAAACTTTACTCATTGACTATGTTTCACTTACATGGCGATATTCCCATGAAAACTAGTCACCAAAATGAGATTTGATAAAACGATCCAACATTCGGGACGAATGTTTTCATGGAAGGGGGGCTGTGTTACAGATTTTCCCCTTACCTAAAACAACCCACGAGATTGGATCACCCAATTTATGCCCTAGACATTAAATCTGTATGTCGTAATTTTGTTTGTATATATCATGGGAATATCACCAATCATCGTATGTTATTAATGTATGCTTTATAATTCATCGTATATGTTTATTTCATGAATATTGTTTGGTTATATATAGTACAAACCCGAATTTCCTCCATTGATCAGCCATATCGTAATAACAAATGGCCACCCGGCATTGTTATTCGACTCATGTAACTCAAATACACTTGGCACCATCTCCAAAGTAATTCCCAACCAATTACTCATCATTTTCCAGCGTTTGTAATACTTTTTAGAGCCATGTTTACTTGGTGCAAAGTTGTTGACAAATGTCGCGCGAATAATGGCGGCACCGCACGTTATTCGCGCGTGGAGTATTTCGCACCTACCAACCAAAAGGTATATAACAGACGTTCTGAGAGACAATCGCCAGTAGTGCTTGCGCTGCTCAACCAGGCATGGTGCCTTCAGTGCCCATCAGACTGGTACTCTACCCATAGGTACATTTTGTACCATTGGTTTGGGTAGGCTGATGCCATTACAAACCCAGTGATTTTGGGTCCCCATCCTTTTTCTGGGTAAACTCACCATTTTGTGAGTAAAACACCCATTTTCCCCAGTATTTGCCACTTTTTGTTGATTTTGGCCACATTTTAGTAAATTCCTGACTTTTTAGCTGTTTTTATTGATTTTTAATAAATTTATAGAAAATTACAATCTTTTCTTATTAATTGGGTAAATTTCAGAAATAAGAGACCCACGTATAATTTCTGTAACGGGGTAAACCATTGAGTGGTAAAAGAATTCACTGTATTCAAAAACCACCACTATACCCAGAAACGTTACACAGGCTTAAAATTTACAACTTATTGGTGGATTTAGGATCTTTCTCTAACTTTTAGAAATATTCTTAATTAAACACATTAAATTGGGACAAACATAACTTCAATCAAGCTGCAACAAAAACTGTGTGTGTGGAGGGGGGGGGGATTTAAATGAAAAATTTCAATTTCAATATTAAATCAAATCGATGCGCTTTCCCCCTCGTACCACTGTATTACTTAGATATCTTTATATTTTATTGTTTCAGATTAATTTTACTAATTCTGAAATGTGATGGGGGTGGGGGGTGTTTGCTTGTTTATTTTTCTCTATTTTCATTGTTTGCTTTTTTTCTTTTGAAACTTTGTAAAATTATACAATGTAGCTACACAATTTGAAACATCTTTAACCTTTTTTGTATACTGGTATGTCACCCTATAAAAGGTAGCACTGATCATTTAACATGACAAACCGACCCTTTACTACATTGAATACACCATTTAATTTGTATATGTATATTTTAACCTATAATAAGTAATGACGACCATTTAACATATTAATTATACCCGTTATTATATCGAATGCACCATTCAATTTTTATGCTTCACGCCGTAACAAGTAGCGTCGACCATTTAACATATCAAACCGACCCGTTGTTATATAAAACCGACCCGATATTATATCGAATACACCATTTAATTTGCATACTTCACCCTATAGCAAGTAGCGGCAACCATTTAACATATCAAACCGACCCGTTGTTATATCAAACCGACCCGTTGTTATATCGAATGCACCATTTAATTTGTATACTTCACCCTATAACAAGTAGCGGCGACCATTTAACATATCAAACCGACCCGTTGTTATATAAAACCGACCCGATATTATATCGAATACACCATTTAATTTGCATACTTCACCCTATAGCAAGTAGCGGCAACCATTTAACATATCAAACCGACCCGTTGTTATATCAAACCGACCCGTTGTTATATCGAATGCACCATTTAATTTGTATACTTCACCCTATAACAAGTAGCGGCGACCATTTAACATATTAAACCGATCCGTTGTTATTTCAAACCGACCCGTTGTTATATCGAATGCACCATTTAATTTGTATACTACACCCTATAACAAGTAGCGGCGACCATTTAACATCTTAAACCGACCTGTTGTTATATCAAACCGACCCGTTATTATATTGAATGCACCATTTAATTCGTATACTTCACCCTATAACAAGTAGCGTCGACCATTGAACATATTAAACCAACTCTGTATTATATTGAATGCACCATTTATTTTGAATCTTTCACAGTATAATAAGAAGAGGTGACCATTTAACATAGTAAACAGACCCTTTATTATATTTTACACACTATTTATAATGTATCTTTCACCGTATAACAAGGAGTGGTGACCATTTAACATAAAGAACCGACCCTTTATTATATTAAATACACCATGTATTATGTGCGCTTAACCCTTAAACAATGTGTGGCGACCATTTATTATATTGATTCAACCCTTTATTATATAGAACACACCATGTAACATAATGTACCATACCTTAAGGCAGCTATGGCGTTCCATAGAAATACATCTTATTTCAGCTTGTTATTTTACTGCCCTTTTCTATGTTACAAAAGTGCATGCGTCTTTCACAGACTAAAAATCAGAATTTAAAGTTTTTATTTCATATTTCTTTTTCTATCTAGTATACACCAGCAGGCAATGCCGTAAGTGAATTAAACTTAACTGTAATGATGTAATATTAATTGTTTAAATGTGATTTTGTAACGTATGTACTTAAATAAAGTGACCATTGGCATCTCAACATCAGATATCAGCCATCGACATGAAATTGATACGTTAACATCTGTCGTGGGTCCTGATAGGATTAACTGCATTGTAACTAAAACACAGGGATAAAATCATCACTAATCTTTAGTATCCTCCTTACATCTCCGTGTTATTTCTCAAGTACTGGGGGTAAAAAATAACCTCATACTGATATATGTCAACATTGTTACAATGTTCATATCTGTTAAAAAGACTTTCAAATAAATGGTCACTAGTGAGCAGAGATAAATACACTCATGTTCTTTTAGTTTAAAAACATCAGAAATTTTTTGGAGGACCATTTTTGCCTCAAAGTTGGTCTGAAGTTTGGTGACAATGAGTGGTACAGGGACAAATTTAACAAAGGCACTGCTTAGCAATGCATTTTCTTAAAATGAGGCTTGTTTAAAGCTCACTGCAAATAATTGAAGTCTACTGTTTGTAAAAAGAAAATATTAAACAAAGCAAAAAAAAATTCTAACCGATAGGCAGTCACTAATTTCTGTCACAGCAAGTCGCACAATTAGCACAAAAGCAAAAATATTTTATACATGTATTTGGTGATATTGTTCATAAATGAGGCATATAAAAAGTTACTTTCACTTTTATGATTTATGTTTAGTAGCAGTTCAAAGTTGTAATGCCACTTTAATGTTCTGAGGAATATTATCAATAGTTATATGAATACTTGATGCTTGCTTATGCTTAAGACTTACACTTTCAATAATTAGATGGAGTTCATTCATATAGATTGGCTGTTCAAAACTATTAATTATGACTAAATTTTGATAGCTTTTCATATAAAGGTAAAAATATAAAGTAATTTTTAGCTCTACTGGTCAGAGACCAGAAGAGTTTATGCGATAGTAATGCGTCCAGTGTCCGTCTGTCTGTCTAGCTGTCTGTCTGTAAACAATTTTTCAAAATGCTACTCCTCCTACAGTTTTGGTCTGATTTCAATATAGCTTGGCACACAAGTAAACTACACTATGATACATAATTCTGTTTATCGGTTTTTGATTTCGATGAATGGTGTTGCCATGGTTACTAAAAATAGAACTTTCTGTGAAAATCATTCAAAATGCTACTCCTCCGACAGTTTTGGTCTGATTTCAATATAGCCTGGCACACAAGTAAACTACACTATGATACATAATTCTGTGTATCGGTTTTTTGATTTCAGTGAACGGTGTTGCCATGGTTACTAAAAATAGAACTTTCTGTGAAAATCATTCAAAATGCTACTCCTTCTACAGTTTTGATCTGAATTCAGTATAACTTGGCACACAAGTAGACTACACTAAGATACATAATTCTATGTATCGGTTTTTGATTTCAATGAACGGTGTTGCCATTGTTACTAAAAATAGAATTTTTTTTCAAATACATTCAAAATGTTACTCCTCCTACAGTTTTGATCTGAATTCAGTATTACTTGGCACACAAGAAGACTACACTAAGATACATAATTCTGTTTATCAGTTTTTGATTTCAATGAACGGTGTTGCCGTTGTTACTAAGTATAGAAATTTTTTTGAAATACATTCAAAATGCTACTCCTCCTACAGTTTTGATCTGAATTCAATATTACTTGGCACACAAGTAGACTACACTAAGATACATAATTCTGTTTATTGGTTTTTGATTTCATTGAACTGTGCTGCCGTTGTTACTTTAAATAGAAACTTCTGTGAAAATCATTCAAAATGCTACTCCTCCTACAGTTTTGGTCTGAATTCAATATAACTTGGCACACAAGTAGACTATACACTAAGATACATAATTCTGTGTATCGATTTTTGATTTTTGATTAATGGTGTTGCCTTGGTTACTAAAAATAGAAATATCTGTGAAATACTTTCAAAATGCTTCTCCAAATACAGTTTGAGTCTGATTATAATATGATTTGGCATGCAAGCAGACTACACTGAGATACATAATTAACAGTTTTGTGTTTTTGATTTTGCTGATTTATGTTTCCATAGTAATTTAAATTGATAATTCAGTAAAATTTTATTAAAAGCTACTCCTACAGCTGTAGTCTTATTGCAATCTTGCCTCAAAAAGAGACTTAATCAAGGATCATTATTCTGTTTATTGCTTTTGTAATTTTTAAGTCCCAACTGCTACTTTTCTTTTCTTTATTATACCGGTAAGTACAAACCAGTAGAGCTACAGTCTCGACAGAGACTTCTGGTTTGATTTAATTATTTATAATAATTGTTAATAAAAAGTTTTGCCATATTTTATATTGTAAATGATTAATTAATGGGAATTTACGAAATACTCAACCTGATGTTATTTTTAATGGAAATTTTCAAATTTTCTTAGTTCCGTGTTTTTCAGAAGACACTCTGATTTTGAGATACCAAGGTTTGAACATTGTTTTTAAGACCACAATATTATGAGTACAGAATGTTTTTCAATTTCACTGTTGTTTTACCGGTGAATTTAAATACCTCTGTGTGTTTTGTGGGTTATGTCTCGAAGTAAGTTATAGTTTTCTTATAAGCTTACCATATCTGTTTTCACTATGTAAATTCTTTTTGAATCTTCAGTCCTACTAGAAAAAAAATATAATGGATTAATACATTGGTAGGTGTCTAACCATCTGGCATGTTGTCTGCTCATCTACAATTTACAACATTACTACATACTTCTACACCCAAAAGTAATAACTTTTAAGATCAAGATCTAGTAAATGAATTAAGACTACTTTTTAGTGCTAGATCCATTATGACGTCATAATTGATTTTAGTGGGTTGTGGTTTTGCCCCTGTACCCCAGGAGGGGGCTTAAGGAAACCTCCATACTATTTCCAACCATAACTTATCAACCAAAATTTATCATAGATGGCTAAGGGGTAAATTAGAAGAAAAAAAATTTAAGCCAAGGTGCATCAGATTCCATTATCCTTTATTAAAAACCAACAGAGTTGCAGTATCTTCAACAGGGCTCAACATTAACTATTCAACAAACTAGACCAATTGAACAACTACCATACAATTTTGCCAGACTTACCCAAATGGTAGACATAATTTTTTTTTCCCACTTTAATATTCTAGGAATTCTACTTTCAGTAATCCATGGATATAAGCTCAGGTCTAGTAAAGGCAAGGATTAGTCTCCAAAGTAATATTTTCCAGGTACTAGTCCAATTGGTCTAGTTTGTTTTTTGAAGTAAATATAGAGCCCTGTTCAGGGACATTGATGGATGTGAACAGCTCCCAGCACTATCCTGTGATCCCAAACGGAAAAGATTTTTAACAAACTACTATCAAACCATCAACAAACTACCAACAAACTATATTTTCGTGGTTTGTTAAAATAGCTTGATAGTATAGCATTTAATGAAACACAAACAAACCACTATTTCTAAAAATAAGTATAGTGGTTTGTTAGTCTTTCATTTCGGCTGATTGTGGTTTCTTTATAGTTTGTTAGACTTTGTATCTTGCAACAGTGTTTTATTAGTATAGCATTTGCATCTAACCACATGGGAAATTAATTTACAGACATGTTTAGGGTTGAATTATCTAGAATTGTTGAAGTTTCCAAGAACAGCTTAATCTTTACATCCGGTGTTAGCTATTTGCGCCAATTTTCAAACCACCAAGCAGGTCAGAAACAAAGGAACTGGTGAAGGGACATTCAAATTGTTAGTATCATTCTATAAGATCCCTGACTGGAAAAAGCAGCAATTAACATTATTAAAAGATGGATCTGGATACAGAAGAGGTATTTAATGCATGTCATAAAGTTCCTTTTTACCTAAAATAAGGCTGGACTACAGTAATTAACCTTCTGTGAATGTGGATGTGTATGCTTTTACTAGCTTTGGGATTTTAATTTATTTATTTTCAGATTGACCTATAATTCCTATACTAGTTTAGATCAGTTATGCATTGAATTATGGGAAGTATGCTTGAAAATAAGACAAAAACAGATGTCTTTCAACGTTGCAATAAGGTGCCAGAACAATTAAAGGAAATATTGCAGCATTTTCCATGCCAGATGAAGCAGGGAATATTTAAATGTCAGCTTGAAGAACATTTTTTTGGTGATAAATGAAGATGTGCACAACATGAAGGAGAATATGTGATAAGTACATGGACATTGGCTTGGAATTGCATCGCCTAAACAAAAGGGAACATGTTGGAATGTTGCACTTGCATTGGCTAAACTTGTGAATCCTGGATTTTAAAATACTCTGAAACAAGACTTTTTGAATATTTCAAAATGTGACTGTTTTAGATGTTTTCAAAGACTTGTGGAGTTGTAAAGGTTAAGGAAAATTCAAATCTTAAGTGTTTTGCTGAGGGATATTTGTTACCAGTGATTTGTTAGTAGTTTGTTAGAGTGGTTTGATAGTAGTTTGTTGAGTGGTTTGATAGTAGTTTGTTAGAATGGTTTGATAGTAGTTTGTTAGAGTGGTTTGAAAGTAGTTTGTTAGAGTAGTTTGATAGTAGTTTGTTAAGAGTGGTTTGATAGTAGTTTGTTAGAGTATAGTTTGTTAGCTCATTTGCATGTGATTTGCTATACTATTAAACTACTTTCAAACCATAGTGGTTTGTTAGTCATTTGTTATAGTAGTTTGTTTGCCCTTTTTTTCCGTATGGGATGTTTTAACTCTAGTTTGGTCTATTGATGTAGATGCATGTTCTCCTGTAGGATAAAAGTCTAATGAATTGTTTTCTTTTTTTATCTATGGATATAGATTCTTTCATTGTCTTTTTTCATTGCATTAATGAGTGCTGTTTTAGCTCACACGAGTCACTATGCAGCTTTAAGGAATTGTTGTAATGGAAGTTTCTCCTATGCAAGATGTGTATGAATGTATTTCTTGAGTAAAAATTTTACATTTCCTGTACCACATGAAAATTTTTATAAGCTATCTAGTAACAAAGTATTCCTGGTGAAGGTAATTTACTTAAGTTTAAATGATGAACAACATCAGTAAATTAAGATATATTTTCTAGATAAGTTCACTGCAATACTAACTTCCTTGCTTAAGCTGCTGATGGGTATTTTTGAGTTGTTTTTTGAAGGGCTTATAATGATGATCTTACATTAATTTATGGTTCCTACCGAATGTTCAAGCAGTATGCAAGACTTTGGCTTAAATTTCTTTTAGATTTTTTTAAAGGTGAACTGTGTAATTTTTGATTATCTTTGTTTCGGTGATAAGCTTTAACCAAATCATAAGCTTTGAAAGCTTTCCAGTTTTTCATACTCTAGCTAAGTAAGCTTTTAAAGGTACATATACATTTCTTTCTTCTATTATTATAAGTAGGCATTTTATCTGTGAAATATACATAGCTTAGTTTGTCCTTGTAGGCTGATGAGGAGATGAGTCACAAAGTACAGAAGAACCGAAGATCAGAAGACTATAACTACTGGAAGAAATGCTCCATCGAGTTTCTCAGGTCTCAGGAATTCAAGGAGAAAAAGGAGAAAATGGCAGCACTACATGCTGAAATGTAGGCAGTCTTTTCTTGTTTGAATATAGTTTTCCCATTGTTTTAAATTGTTTCCTTTTTCCAGCAAAATGATGACATACTTTTTCTTTGATGTTTTAACCATAGGGAACATTTAATTGACTCCTTTGATGTCATAAGGCTGTTAAAGTTTTGTTGTTTTTTTTTTTTTTGTATATGGATTCCTTAACTTTATGTATCAACCCAAGAATTATTTTTGTAAAAACTGGAAATTGCACATCTCTTAAGTTTTCCTCCAAGTCTGATGGTTTATAGATCATAGAGTCACTTTTTATGAGCAATTTATTTGGTAAAAAAATTAAATCTTGAAGAAGAGAGCTTTAAATTGAATTGTTTTATTTAAATGTACTTCAAAGTTATGTAATAATGTTAAAAAAAATTAAAACAAGGTCTGAGAATAAAGTTTTGGATGGATAAGTTGACTTGAAAAAATGAATACATGTACTTTTTCTGTTACCCTTAACTTTGTTAAACTGCATTCAACTGCACTTTATATTATAGAGACATTACTCACTGTAACCTTTTTAATATTATGTAGAATCACCAACCTGCAGGAAGACATGAGATTGCAGAAAAAGAACATGAAAAGAATAAGTGACAGAATTGTGGAGTTAGAGAGAAGTCTGGGAACCAGCAGGATGTACCTAGAAAATATCTACCACAAACTAGATAAACAAGGTCAGATAATTTAAAACCACAAATTAGATAAACAATGTCAGATAATATAGAAAATATCTACCACAAACTAGATAATCAAAGTCAGATAATATAGAAATATCTACCACAAACTAGATTAACAAGGTCAGATAATATAGAAATATCTAGATAAACAACGTCAGATGATCAAAAATATCTACCACAAACTACATTAAAAAACAAGGTCAGATAATAATATAGAAAATATCGACCAATAACTTGATAAACAAGGTCCAATTATAAAGGAAATATATGAATCCACAATATAAATGGCAGCAAAACCATTTATTTTGCTTTGTTTTTGTAGAAAATGTTTCCCAAGTCATGAAAATTAATTGTCTTGGATTGATTTAAAAGTAATGAATCGTGAAAAAAGATGATGTGAATAATAGTTGGTTTACAGTATTAAAGAAAATATCTGCCACAAACTAGATACACTTTAACTTTTTATCATAATCTTCAAAACACAGAGAGATAATGTAGGAAAAAATTTATAATAGAGAAAATATAGTGATGATGTTCTGAAAATATCTTTCTTCAGGTAAACAGAAGAAATGAAAATTCATTTATTATTCCCTAAAAATTAAAGCATCAAAAGGCATTGTGATTTGTCAAAATGTGCAACTTATGTTTAATTGTCATGATATTTTCTAAAAGGCTTTCTTACTAAAAGAGAGGTTATTTTGTGAAATTCCTCCCAATCACTAATTCAGAAATTACTCCAATCAGTTTGTGATGACAAGTCCACATCAAACATTAATTTCTTCTAATACATGTATCTTTATAGATGTCCATGGTATGGCCAACAGGAAGGGGCAGATAATTCATATAGCAGCTCGACAGTCCCCTTACCCAGGCACTTCTATAGCCAGGTTCCCCGTATTTGACAAATATGTACCATGGGAGGTGACTGCATGTTATTTATTTTTCTCTATTTAGATTCATATATTTATACCCCAGCTTCGAAGGAGAGGGGTATACTGTTTTACCCTTGTATGTGTGTCTGTCCATAACAAATTTTTTTGCCACAGTTTTCTAAGCAACTATTCATCTTAAATGCTTTAAATTTTACCACACTCTTTGTTGAGGCATGCAATATGGTGGGATTCATTTTTATAGAAATATGATGTCAACTTCCTGTTTATTCATGTATCTGTCTGTACGAGGGGTGATCAAAAAGTTCGCCAACTATCTCTATATCTACAAAACCACAATTCAGATTAGAATGAAATTTGGTACACACATAGCCATACACAAGGTCTATAAATAGCATATGCTGAATAAAGTTTCTCTCCTTGTTTGTGACGTCACAATGTGAAAATACGTCACTATTTAGGTCACTTATACGATATATAATATATATATCTAATTTTTTCAATAAACGACTGTACAATTTATTGTAATATCTTAGAAATTCCTCTGCAGTATCATATAATAATTTGTACACAGTTTATAGAGATAAATGAGTTCCTATAAATTCAATTAATGATTGGATTAATTGTTTTAGTGAAGGAAGGCTGATGGTTAAAAATGATACTTGTCATCTTGCGCAGTGAAAGCAAGTTTGAAAAGATATGTATTTTTAATTAAGCAATTTGCTATCAAAGACCTCCAATTAGCACTTTGAAAAATAGTTGAATATTTGAACAATGATATAAGTATTAAATATCCAAGATATCGTTTACTTTAGATTTTAAACATATTAGACATGATAAAAAGGATGCACCCAATGATTATCCACCTTGAATAAAGGTCTCTCCTGAGAAAGAAGATTTGTGTTTTAATGGTCGCCATGCTTATTTTTGGAAAGGATGTTATTATCCACCCATTCTGTTGCCGAGATATGACCATTTCTGACAAATGAACTGTTCTTGTCATAAAAATTAACTCACATGGAAAGAAATATAAAACTCGGAAAAATCTTTCAACTTATGTGACAAACGCTAGAAAATACCGCCAATATCACGTGATTCGCGCATGCGCAGAACGGTGGTTGATGTGCATTAAAATCGGGGAGGATCAATTTAAAATATAATCAACATTAAAACCAAATATTGTTTCTTGTATGGAAGTTATTCAATTAGTTTGCGAACTTTTTGATCACCCCTCGTAACTATGTATACATATATTCACATCAGAGTGTATAGTCACATCAGAGTGGGGGTATTACTAGTTAGCCTTGGCTCACATATTTCTTGTTCATTCAATTTGTCAAATCTTGTACATAGAATATCTATAATATAGAATATATAATATATATCTAATTTTTTCTGTCTAGACATCATACGATGTTTATGATCCAAAGATTTATACCTTGGCCACTGAAAAGTTTTCTGATGAGGAGAGAATGTATGTGGATCTGGACATAATATTGTAAGTAAATCAATATGTGTATGATATATTGCTCTTTATGTTTCCAAAGATATGGTCTGTATTTTACATACAATCTGACTGAAAAGTACATACATTCAAAATAGAGATCAAAATTTATTTATGATAAAAATTTGTTGATGACGTGATGTATTGGAGAATAATATGGCCATGGCATCTCTTTGATCTTTTCAATATCCTTAGTAGAATCAACCTTAAGTACCGTGATGATTTCAACATTTATACATTGGATCCTAAATGTGTATTTTGAGCTTAATTAAGAATAAAGAAATAAAAATTTTATGATCAGAAATAAACAATAAGGAGACCCCACTGTGATAGACAATAGGTAGAAAATATTACTACTATATTACACTGCTCTTTACTGAATCCCTGTTGAAGCCCTTTCTATCGTATCTTCAAGAGTGAGGAAACAAAAGGAGGAATATGCCAAAATGACAGAAGAGGAGTTGGTAGGATTACCTCCCTTACCGTCCATTCCCAACATGAAGTGGAATTCTATTCTCACTGTTGTTCATCATACAAATGGAGGAAGGAAACAAATCATCGACCGGAGGTCCTGGATCTCTAAGGACGACCAGCCCTGTAGATATCAACTGGACCCTAATGGACTTCCCCTGTAATAATATATGTGGTGTTTTTTTGCATATTGTTTTCATTGATAACAAAATTGAATTTTTATTTGGTGAGCATGACATCAATTAAATATTTTTTAAGGGATGAACAAAATTGATTTTTAGTTCATCATCTTAGCCAGATGTTTTACTTAATTAAGTAAGCCTATTTGATTAACAAGTGTCACCTGTCTGTATGTGAACATTTCACCTTACGCATGGGGCTAGTTTTAATGGAACTTCCCAGAAAGCATTCTTGGTTAAAGGGATTTGAATTTAGATAAAGGGAGTGGAAAGGGGTATCCAGGAAAACTGAAAATTATCCCCACTTTCAAAATATGGTGGTTCCATAGTACAAAATTCAAAATACTTTCCAGGAGTTTGTACACTAAATGAATGTTATTTTGATTACCAACCATAAAAGCTACAATACCATCAGGGGCTGGTTTGAAAATTCAGTGGACATGTGTATGTTCATCTTGTATCATTGAATGTAGTCAATTAATTTGTGTAATACATTCTGGCACTTCTCTTTTACTTTTTTCATCTAGGAATCCTATGGGACGAACTGGAATTACAGGAAAAGGAAACCTATGGCGCTGGGGACCAAATCATGTGATTAAGGCCGTGTGTACTCGATGGAGACAGAAGTATAATCAGGAGAACCAGCCCAGTGGTTATCTGTATGTGGAGGGAAAGCGAGTCCTGGAGTTTATAGCCACTCAGAGGGACGGGGATAATCTAGAAACTGTGTATGAACTACCAGGGGTAAGTGTTCATTCTGGATGTATTTGTTTCTGTTTAATGTTTCAGCCAACTTTCTTGAAATAATTAATGGCCCTATCAAATGGTCTAGGAGCAAAAGAATTTTGATTTGGGCTATGGCTTTTTAGAGAGTTTGTGCCCTTGGGACCATTGTTTTTTTTTTTTTTTACATTTTTATCATGTAACAAAATATCTCTCAAGATTTCTGGGGCATGACATTGTTTACAGTAGTGACAATCCAACGATTCCAATAATTTTATGCACAATGGTAATAATATGTTTTACGGTGTGACCGTTATCATCAAAAACACTTAGCCGCTACTGCTCTGTTCATACGACGTCACAAAGGGGAGCTGACAGCCGAGCGTCTGTTTGAAACTATAGAACAAGTGCAATTTTTGTCGAAAAACATTGCATCTCTCTTTGAAAGATTTCTACAAACTGAAAGTCTGATATATGCTTTACATTTATTTATTTATTCGGCAATATTCGCGCAAAGGACATTGGGTACATTGGGAATGTTGACAGAGAAATTTCCAACGATTCCAATAATTTTATGCACAATGGTAATATAATGAAAATGTGTAACATAAATCTTTCAAAAAAGGGATTTGTTTTGCTTTGAATATTCTATATCATCAAAAAGATTTGTTTAATGCTGAGGCAGGAGATTTGTCAAGTTGATAACAATGTATTTCTCACCAAATGTGCAGTGAATATCAAGAATCAGAGAGGGTCATGCAAGAGTCTAAACATGGCACAACTAGAATGATTTAGAATTTTGTGTAAGGATTTTAATAAAACGTAGGTATAATTGTGATTTTTGTAGGGAGTTCTTCATGGTCTATCCTCTCCATATTCTGTTGTCTGCGAGTCTTTCCTGAAATCTGTGTTTGATGAGAATGAAGTTGAATCAAAACCAACTCTGGACCAGGGAGATATGATTCAGGTATAGTGAAAAAAAATATTGAAAAGCTTTTATAAAAAAAAGTTACAGACTGAAAATTTAAATTTTAAAAATGTAAATAAGAGTTATTTTTGAGAACAGTAAGATTTTATACCCTGCCATGATTATGACTTGGGCATATTGTTTATGTCATGTCTTTTGTAGCTGTCCTTTTGTCTAACTTACTTTGCTTTTGCTCAGTTTCAAAATAGTCCTACAATGATAAAATTGGTTGAGAACCATTTTCTGACATTACTTCATAAAACAACATACACAGGTATATTTCTGTAAGGGCATTTTAACCATAATATTTCTTAAAATATCCCAAGTTATGCATATAAGAAAAAAAAATTGAAATAATGAGATTTCATTTAGCTGTAAAGGGGTAAATCAACACTTCATACTGCATGCTATAAAAGAAAACAGCTATATTGAAATTATCAGTCCTGTGTATAAACAAAAATTATTCTCATAATTTTACTAATTAGCTCAGACCAGATGAACAAGGAACTTTTCTTGTCTTGTTGCAATTAAACATTCTCAAGTCCTATGCACATATTTCTAGTATCAACATCTATATCCTTACTTTTTTGCAGTTTTTTGCACAGTTTGCAACTCTGAATGTCAATGTTAAGACATCTTTCTCCATGGGAAATCCTGAACTTTCCACTTCTCAGTTGTTTTCTGGAGTTCATGGTTCCCGCACCAGTTCCCGCACCAGTCTAAGAACAGAGGCAGACTCCCAGGGCTTCTCGGCCTCCCTGTTATACAAAGGTTACCTGGATGATCCACGTAACACGGATAACGCATGGATGGAGGCAGAAGTCTGGAATTTTCATTATGACCTTGGAGATAACTTTGAGTTAAGAATGTCAGAGGTAAGATTATAAAAATGTCATATTTGTAAGGGTAACATGTGAAATTTTTATCCCACAAATACCATTGCTGGCCATGGAGCATAGGACCAAAAAATAAAATTAGCTTTGTTTGGCGTTGCCGTCCGACTCAAGTAAATCGGTACAGTCAGAAGAATTTTTTTCAACTGATACGAATCGTAATTTTTTTATGGTATATTTATCCGGATTTAGGTGTCTGCACGTTTGAGTAGTATACAAAATAGGAAAGAATTATTTAAACGCTTGATTGATCGAACAGCTTTCATTAAAAAGCATCTATGTGATGTTGATTATGCGTATCACAAATCCAAGCATGGCTGTCAAAAGCGGTAATGTAAACTTGGTACAAAGATGTTGACGGCATGACTCTCCACGGTCATGTGTTTTAGAATGGCATAAATATACTGACGAATCAATTACCGGGTATACCTGTTTAAAATAGAAATTTCCAAGGTACAATGTCCTAGGCCAAGCTGTCTGATTTGCTAGATGAATCTAGTGGCCATTCTTGGATTCATGCATATGAAAACGACTTGTTTATGCCAATTCAATGTAGGCGATTTTTTAATTAATACCATGTATATTAAAGGTTTAAAACTAATAGGGTTTGAAAATAAATAACAACTGGGAATCAATTCGGACTGCAGTTGTTGTTAAGCAAACAAAAACCCATGACACCCGGATCCTAAAAACATTTCTGAAATTGAAAAAAAAATATATTTTCCCTACCTACCGACCCAAACGTATAAAGTCTGAGTCGGCAATGCCAAACCAACAATATTTTAATTGTGGCCTTGGTCAGCAATGATTTCAAAGGGATAAAAATTTTACATTAATGTAAATTATAATTTTCTGTTTTTTATACTGAATTTGGAATAATTATTTAGAATGCATTTCAAGGAAAATTTCATGGTGAACTTTACATGCAAGCAGTCTGCACAGTTAATTATTTATACTATTACCCATCGACATGCATTTTCAACCATTGCAGTATTATGTTACCCGGAGGACATGGATTATGCATGTGGAATGGGTAATTGTACTGTGTACTTGATTTTTAAAGCAAATCAAATTTGACTATTTAAAGTGAAAGGATAACAATATAAATGTATACATATATCATGACAAAATGCTTTTAATACCATTTTCAGGCACACAGCAGGGTACGTTCTGGGTACAGTATAGCTAGTTAAATCCTAGCTTATGTGCTAGTTATTAAGTGCACACCACATCTCAGCAATTTTTACTAAAATTTGACAATCCAGCCAGTTTATATATATTTCCATTGTTTTTGTTTAGCTGACTTGTGCTTTTAAATCAAGGCAAATGAGAAAATTATAACTAACAAAAGATCCTGCATATAATTTATTCTGTTTGAAAACAGCAAAATAAAGTATTAAGGAGATTTAAGTTGAAAAGAATGAATTTTCAAATATGTTTTTCTGAAAGAAGTATGGTTTCTATTAGGGAGCATGGGGTGTGTTACTAACAGTAACATGCTAGTACAGTAAAACTCATTTAGTACAAGCACAGATATTGCAAATTCACGGATATAGCTAAGTTTTCTTGGATCCCCAGCTATATAAATTTAACAAATTCCTTAAATGGATATAACAAATTATGGATATAGTGAAGTAATTTCATAGGTCCCAGGACTTCGTTATAACAGATTTTTACTGTATATAAATGTCAATTTTTTTCTCTATTTCTTCTTCAGGAAAATGGTACAACTTGGAAGGAAGTGCTGCCGAATGTCAAGTTGTTTGGAAATGAGGGTGCCATAATTCAGGAGGCAGCCAAAATCCAGGATGCCTACTGTTAACCCTCGCTGTAAAACAGGAGGAAAACGAGGCCAAAGATGTATCTACTTGTATTGGCATAAACTGTATATGCTTTAATATTATGAATGTATCAACATGTTTGTTAACTTTTTTTTGTTTTGGTTGTTTTTATGCCACCCTTCGAAGAAGAGTGGGCATATTGCTTTGTTGCTATCTGTTGGTCAATCTGTCCGTCCACCAAGTTTCCGTTCATTTTCTTCACAGTGGTTGCACATAAAGAAATGAATTTTGGTATACAGATTTTCATAAGAATATCTAGGTCAAGTTCTGTTTTGGGTACGATTGAGCCATTTTTGACAAAGTTATGCCCTTAGACTTAGAAGAATTTCTATTATGAGGAGGGGCGGGGGCATAAGTGTTTCACAAACATCTCTTGTTTTTTTTTTCTTGACTATTAGTTTAATTTTAGTTGATTTACATTTATGTACATTTAAAGAAACATTAAATAGTTTTATTTTTTTTTCATTATTTAAATAATCAAATAGATACAATTTATATGCATAATGATATTTTATTTTCAGTAAAATTGCTACTTTTTGATTTATTTTTAATAATAAAGTGTTTATTCAAATTGTGTATGCTATGAATGTATATGAATATATACTTTTTACTTATATATGGATGTATTTGAATACTTAAACCTGATGTTAATTTTATTTTTGTTTGTTTCCAAAAGGAGAAAAGATCTCATCAGCTGATACTGTCATGCTGAGCTTAAACCTCTTTAATGGCTCTTGATATTATTTTAGAATAAATTGTCTTTATATGTTTGTGCTGTTTTTATAAATCTGTATCCTAATTGCTTGATTGATTTATTTTACTGCTTTTATATTTGTTCAATATTTTCAGTTTGGAGAGGGATATAACTATTGGTTTGTTGCTGTTTTGTTTTGTTTTTTAAAATAATTTGGACTAACTTTTTATTGCTTTAAATATTATTAAGAATAAAATGAGCATCTATCTCATTAAATTATTATTATCGGCTATATTTTATTTGTGCATTGATAAGAAATTTAGATCTTCAGATACATTATATCATGTTCATGCTAAAAATGTCCAATATAGAGTTTTGGTGCTCTTTAGGTTTTATATGTTTGTGGTCATAATGAACATTTGACACATTTAGATTTAATCTTGTCAATTTTTTATTTTGTTTATGTTGAGGTTTAATTCTTAATATCAAATATACCTACATGTATATATACATTATTGTCAAAGTTATGATGAATGGATTTTATTATGTTTATTTTGAAGGAATGAAAAGCAAAAAATAGCTGATAAATATAGTGTTATTCCCTCTCGCTATTATAGTGTTATTCCCTCTTGCTATTGTTATAGATTGATGTATTCAAAATTTTATGCAGTCACTAAGTATTGAGTAGTTGGCTTAATCATGAATAAGTGTTGGACACATCCACACCATGTATTGTATTTATTTATGGTTTATTAGCAGTGTTCATGAATTGGCACATTGTTGTGTGTGCCAAAACCACTAAAATATGAAACTCCCATTTGGCCATTTCAGTTTGGTGGAGCCATTGCATGTGTTTGTAGGAAAGTTTTTCTTCTCTGTATAATTTGTTGAGATTGATGCATGTACATGTGCTAGTATTTTTCAGGAATGATAACCCCAGACGTGTAGTTAAACCAGGGTATTGAATAATGTCTCTCTTTTTTAAAATCAACTTTTTACAGTATTGTTGAAATGTTATGAGGCTGCACTTATTTTTCACATCTTGCCATTACACATTTTCAGCTACATTCCACTTTATCCAGCTACACAACTTCAAATTAAACGACTAGCATGCATTTACAATTTATACAACAGTTAACAGTTTGAAATTGTGAACAAATAAAGAATGCTTGCTTGAACATTAAAAATGAAATGCTTTGGGTGATTTCTTATTTTTTTAAATTTGTAAAAAAAAAATATCTGTTGTGGATGAAGAGTCCTATAACCACTAGACTAAATATGATATAGCCCTGGATTTTTGGAGGACATTATCCTGGTATTTAAAGCTGGATACTGGTTCAGTTTGCATATAAATAGAAAAAGTTTCAATGCCTTAAATATTAGGAAATTTAAAACTTTAATTTATTCAATTTTTTTTGAATGACTAACAAGACTGCTTTGTATTGGTAGTTTGTCCACTAAATATCTTGTGGACCTTTCTTTAGACAAACTTACTTTGAAATACCATACTTGTACTTCTCTTTCTTCCAATAAAGTGCAGGTCCTTGTGGGCATCATCACACTTTACTATTTTAAGATCTGAGGACATGTTTCTCAAAAATAGTTAAAACGCTATTTTCCCCAAGAATTTGTCAATGAATTATAGATGCTTAAGGAGGCTGGGACAAAGAAAAAAAATCATACATTTTAGTTTTAAAATATGGAGCTCTTCTTCTAAAGGAGGTCAAAATAGTCTAGAAATGGCCATAACACCCCCCGCCCCCTTTAAGCAAGTTTCCTCACAAAAAATGAGATACCTTACCAGGCATTTGGAAAAGATACCAGAGGGTGATATTTCTTAAACAATCCATCTGGGTAATCGTCTGAATAGCCTAAATTAGAGGTTTTGGTGTACTTGTATGTTCAAAAAAACATAGTGAAAACAACGTAGAAATCAAGAAAATGGCAGTTGTAAAATAATTATACCACGAGATATGAAACATAAATTTGAGGAATGGCAATTGTAAAATAATTATACCACGAGATATGAAACATAAATTTGAGGATTGTGTCATCTGACTTTGAAGAGGACGTAGGCATAGTGGAGAGTCCTCTACTTTCAATTAAAAGCTTGATAAAATAGTACTGTCACTTTTAAATATTAAACAATTTTTTTCCAGCCAGTTTCTCGCAAAAGGAACTTGCAGTCTTTGTTGACTCTTTCGTTTTCTAGTAGCTACACCAATAGATGGAGAAAAGGTGAGGATGGAATGGCTACTAGAGAGTGTAAGATCTTACACATCATAACTGCTTTGGCTGCCTGTCTATGATGTTGCAGTGGTTCCCACCTCAGCTGCTGAATCATTGAGATGACGACACTGCTGGTGGTCTGCTAGTCGGCCAGCATGTATCTTGCAGCTTGGCGCTGTACATTTTCAACCTTGTTGATGTTCTAGGTAGAAGGGTCCCGCACAGTACAAACATATTCATGGAGAAAGGCTGTGGTCATGATTGAATTCCATCAACCAATTTCTTTTCCATTCTTGGAGGCTATCTAGGTCCTGTTGTAGCACTGCTGTGTTTTCTGGTCTGCTCATCTTCCTACGCAGGAGGAGGAGTCTGCAAACAGACGAGCTTTCGAATTCACTTGCACTGGTAGGTCATTGATCTACACATGGAAAAGCAGTGGACATAACACTGTCCCTTGAGGTACTCCAGAGGTTCTTGATGCTGATTCTAACATAATGCCTTCCACTTCAACACACTGGGATCTGTTGCTTAGGAAGGACTCAATGCAAGACAAAGTTGAGTGGCAGATTCCATATTGGTGTAGTTTTTTTCGCCAACGGCTGGTGTGGCTTATAGCCGAAAGCCTTGAAGTTTGGATGTTCTCGTTTAGCCCTTCTACCAGGTCTTGGATGGTGAGTGTAAGTTGAGATTCGCAAAATCGTGATTTGCAGAATCCATGCTTCAGATGATGTGTTTGCAAAGCATCCATAATGCTTCAGCCACTTTATCAGACAAAATTTTCAAGAATGTGTTGGTCAAAGCATATTTTCCCAGCATAATGGAGCTATATATATTTACAGTATAATGTGTTCCAGGACTTTGTAGCATACAGAAGTTAAAGACACTGGACGATAGTTGGATGGCTTCTCTTTTCTCTCTTGAAGATTGGTGTATCTCTGGCTGTATTCCAGTCTGAAGGTGTTCTGCCTTGATGTACTGAGGCCTGAAAGACAAGTGTGAGTGCAGGTATTACTTGTATACATCTTGATAGAAAGATGCATGGTTCCATCCTTAGGTGGATCCTCCTTCATCGTTTGTTTTGACACAGTCCACTACAGCTGATTGTGGTGTCCAGCCTAAAACCAAGTGGCTCTACGTCACTGCTGTTCTATTTTACTGTCTATCTCACTTCTGTTTATTTATTATATTTCCACTTCTCTGCTCTTCAATCTCCTTCTCCCTGCTCCCCTTATGCCAAAGCTCTCAGTGCCCTCCACATGGACTGTCCCACGAATCCTATACAATCCACCAGACCTTCCATCCATTCTGCTGATAGTCCTTCAGAAGGTCTTAGTACTTTAGATTTTTCCTTTCGTACTCATCCTCCTTCCCATGGAACTGTTAATTCCAAAATATTTGTCTGTCTTGTAGCCACTGACCAAATGACTACATCCGGCCTCTTGTTTGTAGCTATTATTTCAGATGGAAATGCTAATCTTTCCTTGAGGACTGCCCAGATCTGCCAATCTGTTGCTATCCCCAGCAGACCACTTCCTTCAACACTAACTTTATGTCCTTTTTTCACCTTCATTCACAAAGTTGACAAATCTCAGGCCCTCTGTGTTCTTTGTTTTTTTTTTTTATACTTTTCTCCAAGGTGTCAGCTATTCTGGCTAGGACTCTATCATGTCTTCAAGTGTAGCTCCTATCTTTCAAAGCTTCTGAGCATGCTGATAATATGTGCTCAAAGTTAATCACAAAGGACACACTTTGGATCATCTGTCAATCCCCATGTTACCAGATTAGTTGGGCTGGGAAGAACATCATAAACTGATTTCAGCTTAAACTCAAGTCTGAATGGTTCCATCTTCCAAATATCATTCCATCCCAACTTCACTTGACGTGCGATTTTCCACTTCAACCGGCTACCTTGATTCTTCATTCCATTTACTTTTACGATTCTTGAATCATCCTCCATTGCACGCACTTCTCTCTGCACTAAACTGCGCTTCTCTCCTACTGAAGCTGTCACCCATCTTGCTGTTGGTGTGTCATCAAGCCCTTGCCTTTCTATTACCAGTCTTCCAACAATGTCGCTGTGTCTGAAACGGGATTCTGCTTCTTCTATAGTTTTCTTAACTGATCACTTTCTTCCCTTCCTAAAATCTACTTGTGCTGACTGGGCTTTCACTGGACTTTGCTATTCTATAACATAAAGTGTTGACGCACCTTTGTCACCTTGAATTCCTCAGTGATTGACTTTAGAGGTAACTGTAGCTTAGTCACTTAGCTATATAAACCAATGCTGCTGAAACCTCCAGCCATATCCTCAGATATCTGCTTACCGTTGTTTCCATTCATTCTACTCACGGTGCTCATTGGTACATCATACACCAGTAGCGACCATAACAAGCGAGGCAGTACCCCATGTTAATAAATCCATATTTTATATTCACAGGGCAGTCCACTTTTGTCCACAGTTTTCATTCAGCCGTCTACAGGTTTCTTTCACATTTTGCTTGTCTGTTAATGTGTCATTGAAGAATTTCCCTAAACATTTTACTGGCTTCAATGTAATTTCATTGGCCATTTCCATGAGTGGGCGTGGGCAGTTCTTTAGGACCACTTGCCATATTCTATTGCTCTCCTGCCTGTTGAATATGCTTAGCAGGTCCGGAATTGAACATGGACTAACGTGTTTAGCACATATTTCTGTTGTGAATTCAAGCACTTTGTCTTGAAGGATAATCTGATTTTTCTAACTGGTGAGTCAGTGCTATGGTTAGCTGGGTGTTTGGTGTAAAAATGGCTGGGGTCCTCTCTCATGCGATCGAAGTTTTCCTATTTCCACAAGTTGATGAGGTGTCGCACTGGTTTTTGTCTAGTTGGTACGATTGATTGATTGTTTGATTGCTGTTTAGTCGGCAATATTTGAGCCATATTTCGGCGATACGATGTTTGAGTCGAACAATATGGCATCATGATCACACAGGCCTGGGATCTTGACACCACTTATTAACAAGTGTGAGGTGGTGAGTGATAATGGCCTCCAGTATGTTTTCATTGCGGGTTGGTGAGTTAACAATCTGTTCACTGCCAATGTGATGAATGGTGACAATGAAGGTTCTGGTTTGCCCCGTGATCAATGCTGAATTGCAGTCAATGTCCGATCAGTTCAGGTCCCCTCCGTACCTCAAAGCGTAACAGACGGATGGACGGACGGACGGATTACCGTATACCCTCCCGCTTTTCAAGCGGGGGGGGGGGATAAAGATACAAAGCTCAGTAATTGATTAATAACAGAAAAACATTCTGATTTTACACAAGGGTACACCGAAGTTGATATCAATTAAAAAGATGTTTTAGTTTCTGATTGACAACATCTTTGTAGCTTTTTTTTTAAAGAGATCTGGGACCTGTTCAACATAACGAGCGTCCGCTAACATTTCTGGTAAAGTGCGAATCGAGAACATCTTGGTTTCGGACACTAGCTACTATTGGCACCTGTGAAATATCCGTACCTCAGCATTGAACCATTATACTTGTTGGACAAAAAAAGGATTACACGCCATAAAATCGATCCATATAAAGCCGGTGTCACTGCAAGGTGGGCTAAAGACTGATCCTACAACCAGAGGCTTCGTTAGGCTTTTGCCCTGGAAGGCAGCTGTCACTGTTTCACAATGGGAGTCTAACTGTATTTCTGTATCCTGTATACTGTGCGTCCATCCGTCTGTTACGCTTTGGAAGGCGGGGTATCATTTAGTAAGCTCACTGCTCACAGTACCTCTAGTTTATAAGGATTTCTATGAAGTTTGGCAATCCAGTTATCTTGTATCTGTAACCATGTTCGTAAATTTTGTTCGTATTCATGTCGGACAAGACTTGTAAGGCCCCGTACCGAAACGAAACGAAATCATCTTTCAGAATGATTATATGCTATTTTTACCTGTACCAATTCCTCATTAAAGAACAAAAGTTTGCCTCGT